CTATAATTGCGGGTGTTATTATCAGTCTTGGTTTTAGTGTATCACGATATAAGGATATTTATTTGCTTTTTCCCTTAATATAATTTGAGTTTTCATACAAAGTGAATATATCTTTTTCGGGGATTTTGATTTTGTATTGATGAGAAGCCTTTATTATAACTTTTTCGATTTGATTTAGGTCTCTGCCTTTCTCTTGCATCTCTACAACTTATTCTCTTTGTTGTGTGGATCTCTGCCTTTCTCTTGATTGTATAGGCCTCTACCTTTTCTTTTGCATTTCTATATATTCCTTTTTGCCAATAGTTTCTAACCCAGATATGAACCCAGGCTTATAACCTGTTTTAAATATAACTCTCTATAGAGAATAAGATAAGAAGTATAGAATAGAAAGTGATAGCATTAGGAGAACTAGCATACTAAGTATATTCTTCCACTTCCGAGAGGAAGAGCTCTGTATAGGACAAAGCTCTTACTAGTACTAATTGGGGCTAGCTCCCCCTGCTCCATGATCACGTGAACCACACCTTTCAACAACTACATAAATAATATAAATATAATTATTTGTCCTCAGAAAGGCTGAGTACTAGATTTCGAAGATCGGGGTCGAAGATGCTTGAAAGTTCACTCACAAGCTATTACTATTCAATAAAAACAATTCGAATACTTATTCTAAGATTATTAGATATTTGAACTCTGTCTTCTGTAAACAACAAACCAGGTATATCCGTCATTTTAAAGGCGAAGATAAAGATGAGAACAAAAACAAAAACAAGGATAAAGATAAAGATAAGGATGAAGATAAGAACAAAAACAAAGTCTTTATCAGAGTATTATTGTCAAGATCGAATTGCTATTGATATATAGCAATAGAACCTTTAAGAAAATAGAATATACTATCACAATACAAGGGATAGATACTAGATTGAATATATGATATTCTATAAAGAGATTGAAAGTAGTACAATGTAACTTTGCCATATAATGGCAAAGATGACTAAGCATCCACTACGCTAATATACTACGCTAGTGAACCCGTGACAATATCAATACAATCAGTCTCTACAATCTCGAGGATATCCTATCTTTTTTATCAATCTTGAGCAGTATAACTACTTCAGCGAGTTTCCATTTATTAGAGTAATAGCTGAGTTTGAGGTAGGCCGCGAAAATCTTATATATTACACTCTTTATACTAGGCTAGTATGCCTTGAGAAAGCGGATGGTTACCCAATCGATTCCGGATAATATGCTTTTGACTCTTATTATATATTTTTCTATTTCCTCTACAATAATCATTCTTTTCTATAGTAAGGTTATCTAACAGCCCTATTTCTGTAGAGGGTTGTGCTGTAGATTGTCCGATGCTTTGAAGCGGTCGAGTACCATTGCAAAAAGGATCTAAAGATTTAGAAGAGGCTTTAAAGCTTAAAAAAAGGAAAAGAGCTTATTTAAAGTATTTAAATCTTATTGAAAAGAAAAGAAATAATACATTTTTATAATCACCTTCTGTTATTATTAAAACTAGAGCATATTAAGAAAATAAAGTACTTAAAGAGAAGTAAGAGAAAAAAGCTAAACTTCAAATAAAAGCTGAAAAGAAAACTGAAAAGGAACAAAAGGAGATTGAGACAAAAGAAAGGATATTGCAAAAGGAGATTGATCGTCAGATTGCATATAATATAAAAAAGGAGATTAAAAAGATTTTAAAATTAATAAAATCTCCAATCAAAAAAGATAAAAAGTTTTCTAAAGTTTCTTCTACTATAGATTTAATATCGATAAAGATTATAAAGCTCTTTAATACTGTAAAAACTAATAATTCAAAAAAGAAAAAAAAAAGGTTATATTGCAATCTAATAAAAGGCGAGCACTACAAGTTCTATCGAAATTCAAAATCTAAAGATTTTATTATGTTTTTAGATAATATTATATCTTATCATTTATCAATTAAATTGCTAGCTCTTTATCTTATAAATTGGAATTGTTATTAATTTTTAAAGTTATTCAAAATGGGTGATCGAGATCGTGCATATAGCAGGGACGTGCACGTAGTAGGGAAATCGGTTATTCCTCGGCTCCGTCGCTCGGAAAGGCAGGTGGAGAAAATGGCGTGCGTTGTTCATGCAGGGTTCAGTGCGGGCTTTGATAAGAGCCAATGTTCCATGCAACTTTGCAGCGGGGTAGAAAATTGCTCAGATAATGAAGACATGGACTAGTACCACGCTGTCACGTCTCTTTTACACTGTTTAGGGTTATCACAACAGTTGAGAAAGTTACATCCATAATTGAGATTTCACGATGATATGCAAGAATCAATGGCAGAAATTTTTTCGAGATGAAGAGCTGTATGAGGCTTTCGGACGATATGACTAGTGCAGGCCTGATGTTTTGAATGCGGTTTGATAGATTGAGGACTCAGTTTATTGTAACTTGTGGGAAGACATCGCCTTGTGGAGATGGGATTAGAGCGAGATATAAATAAATAAATAAACGGAAGTTACAGGATAATAAGTTGGAGGTGTTAGTTGTGCGTAACACGTTTCGCTGTTGCTTAGATGATAAGTGTTATATACTTCGAGAGTTTGGGTATATAATATGAGTATATACAATCCTTCATTCACTTGAGTTTTCTCTTGCTCGCTTAACAAATATAACGTCCAACTCTCCCATATAGATATGTGATGTCATCCTAAACTACAACCGCAAGCTTCCTCATATCCACTCAGATGTATTTATATGGATTCATGATTCCATTCTATGCAAAGTCAGTACATGTCCACAAATCTAATCGTATAAACCTAGTCATAAAACTTACAGGATCATAGAGGTTCTTAATCCCCTTCATCAACCCAATCATCGTCTCACTCCTACTATATCCAATATAATTCTTCTTCGCCAAGCCTAGCCCATGCTCGGCACTGATACTTCCATTCCTCTTGGCAATCCATTCATACACAAATGGCTCTAATACTTTCTCAACTCTTTTATCATAGCTTCGAGTAGCTACATTGAGATGCAAATTCGAATCTCCCATGTGACCATAACCTACTACGCCTACGACAGGGTGATCTTCAGTATCGCCGATGAGACCAGCTTCAGTGATTTTTTCTCGTACATCTTCGACGAGTTGATAGAGTTCTTTCAAAGGAATGGAAAGATCGTATTTGTAGACACCACCCCAGTGACCGAGACTTTCGGGAATACCTTCTCTCCAGCTCCAGAGATCCTTGATTTGTGTTGCATTCTCGGCTAAAGTACCATCTGAGACGATCTCTTTCTCCATGACATGTTCAAGGAAATTGTTCAATTTCTCTTGGTCATGTTCGGAATTGGAACCGCTGGTTTCGATGAGACAGTAGAAAGGATACTCACCCTCCAATGGTCTCTTATTTTTTGTTACTCTTTGAACTAAATCTTGGCTATGACTGTCCATAAGTTCGAAAGCAGAGAGAATTTCAGAAAGTTGACCTTTTGCCTCTTTGAAAGCTTCTTGGACCTTTTCGAAAGATTCGAGGCCGAAGAATGCGACATTGATGGCGTTTGATCGCTGAGGACAAATGATTGAGATTCCAGTGATTATACCGATCGTACCTTCACCACCGATGAACAATTGTTTCAAGTCATAACCAGTATTGTTTTTTCGCAATTTAGAGAGATCATCCACAATTGTTCCATCTGGTAGAACTGCCTCGATTCCGAGAACATTTCCGTGTAAACTTCCATATCGCAACAACCTCAAACCTCCAGCATTTGTTGCTACATTACCTCCAATATGACATGATCCTTTTGCGCCTAGATCCAATGGGAAGATATGTTTGCGCTCTGCCAAATAATTGTCCGCAACTTCCAAAACAACACCAGCATCCACAACAAGGGTACCTGAAACCTCATCAAACGATCGAATTTGGTTCATTCGACTCATGTTGATAACAATTTCATCGAATACAGGAACGGAACCACCGACAAGTCCAGTGTTTCCACCCTGTGGCACAACTGCTAACATATTATCATTGCAGTATTTCAAAATCTTGCTCACTTCCTCGGTGGATCCAGGCTTCAAAACTAAACTTGTATGTCCTCTATACTTGCGCATCCAATCTCCATTGAAAGGTTCAAGATCATCTGTTGCATCTTTTGTAACTCCATCAATAATCGCAGATTCCTTCCCCAGTAAATCCTTGAAAAATTTCACATTCTCCTCAGTAATTTGTGCAAACCTCGAGTCTCGCTTTATATCAGGGTATGTTTCGGATGTGAATTTTATGGTCTTCGATGTGCCAGTTGTTCCTTTGGCTATTCCTTCAGTGTCTTCCGTACTAGCGGTACTTTGCCATCGAGTTTGAGTCAATGGTCGTAATGGTCTTATTTTCGAGCATGAGGATGACGCCGGCGATACCCTAGCTCTGCGGGCTGCGAGAGCAATATGTGATCGAACTGCCATGTTTGTGATGTCCAAATTGAAGAAGGCTTCCCAAATTCTTGAGGGGAAGAAATTAAGAGTGGGGTCACAATGGCGAGCTTTATCCAGGCTTATTAGTCTATCTCTTCCAAAAGTTTTGTTGCACGTCTGAGTGAACCTTCAACTTTGGGGCTTTCAAGAAAAGTATATTTTTTCTGACAAATTTAGAATCTTGAAAGTGTCAGGATATTGGAAAAAATTGTCTTGGGAATTTTGGAAAAGAATCCGATTCGCAATGGCTCGGGGCGTTTTGACCAAATTTCGAAAGGCTGTGATTTTGCCTTGCACTGATATGGCTCGTGCGCTACCTTGGCGGACATCCCGCATATTTACAGCCTTGTTGAGTTAATGCCTGAGGATTGTAGAGCCAGGCTCATGTCCGTTGGACCTTCCTGTCGCGTAGCTTCGTATGCTGAGCTGCCTGCAGTTCAAACATCAAGCTTCATCAATATTTCCCGCATTTCCCATTAAGCTTCGATCCTTTTCAAAATACCCAATAACTCCATTTAATTTCACTTTACGGTTCAGGTCATCATAAATTATGGCTTCAGGATATGATAGAGCGTTGTCTGGTAAGCTATTTCCTTTGGGTAGATAGATTAATAAAGGTAGCTAACATATAATAGTTTTCAGGTTAGTTTACGACTCGATTAGTATTTAAAAATCAACCTAACAGCTGTCATAGTCCGGATGGTCATGTCTTCCAAGTCGAATATGCTCTCGAAGCCGTCAAGAGAGGTACTTGAAATAGCTATAAGCAATCAGTGGACAACAGCTTATACTTCAATCTAGGAACATGCGCCGTTGGAGTAAAGGGCAAGGATATTGTCGTTCTAGGATGTGAGAAGCGTTCCGCAATGAAGTTACAAGATACCCGTATTACGCCATCAAAAATTGGTCTCGTCGATACCCACGTTTGCCTAGCTTTTGCAGGTCTCAATGCCGATGCAAGAATCTTGGTCGACAAGGCAAGATTAGAAGCACAATCGCATCGTCTTACAGTGGAGGATCCAGTTACAATAGAGTACATCACGAAGTATGTGGCTGGTGTGCAACAAAGATATACACAAAGTGGTGGTGTTAGACCGTTTGGTATTAGTACTTTGATTGTTGGATTCGACCCCAATGATCAGACTCCAAGATTATACCAAACAGAGCCATCTGGAATCTACTCCGCATGGTATGTTGATTTTGCTCTATGGATTTTACATATTTTAACAAGCTTCTAGGAAAGCCAATGCTATCGGTAGATCAAGCAAGACTGTACGAGAATTCCTAGAGAGAAACCACAAGGATGATATGGATAGGGAAGCTACCATCAAATTGACAATCAAGTCTTTACTGGAAGTTGTCCAAACTGGAGCGAAGAATATTGAGATTGCTATCATGGCACCAGGCAAGCTCATTGAGATGTTGCCAGTGGAGGATATTGAGAAATATGTGAAGGATATCGAGCAAGAGAAATCCGAGGAAGCTGCTAAGAAGAAGGGTGGTCGATCGGGAGGCACCACTTCAATCTTGGCGAGAGGACCTGATGATGCTGCTGCCCAATAAGTGGATTGATATTTATGACTTTCTGCACTTCATAGAGCCTCTGTAATATAGCAATGAGCGACGAAATGACACAGCTTTGATGCTTCTGATGCATCTCAAGTTCATATTGGGTACCATGTGCCATAACAGTATCACTTCCGTGATATATGCTTATCAGCTTCTTATTAATCATTCGCTCTACGTCCCAAGTTCCCATGCTTATGCCGCTAAATTCAGACCCCTTTTTACTTTCCATGTTCATGACGTGTCGTATTATCCCAACTTGTTTGGAGCCTCCTCCACATCAAAGATCGTTCTCTGTTCCTTCCCTTGCAGTCGATCATCCTTAATCATTCTACTATCCTTCCTGACATCCTCGCCTTCGAATTTCAGCATTGGTTTTGGCTCGATCGCATCGATAACATAATGATTATCGCAGTGCGGGCAGTATTCGTCTCCGTCATCTGTCTCATCGGCAAAATCCTTTCTGAATGCCTTTCTGCATTTTTTGCATGCGAAAGTCTTTACACTGCAGTTAGTATGACGGGTCGAGGAAAGCGGGGTGTACGGGCAAGTAATACCATTTCTGTGGTTTTCTTGAGAGGATGTGATTCAGTTTCCTGGTGACATTCGGCACAGTCAAACCATTTTCGACCTTTGGTTGGAGTTTAGTATGGGAAAACTATCTTAGAAGGTTGTTCCTACAGCATGGCGACCGAATGGAAACTTGCGCGTTGAGAATATGTTTACTAGATTTTTGTTAGATTGCTGAATGATGCTGAGAATAACCATATCTTACCACATGATATGAGTATGGTGATTTGACGTGTTTGAGTGTATTGTTTGGTCAACGATCTTCTGCTGGAGGACGTCGTTGATATCTATCGGCCAGCTCCAATTACGGCTTCACATGCGATCCAGAAAAATGGTTCCAAAACAGTGAATCCCAGGCTGAACCAAATAATTTTAGCGTGCCAAGCTTATTAATCAGTAACTCAGCCTTACGCCTCTTAGTTCTCCCACCGACATTATAAAAGGGAAACCTAGATCATTGTTTCTCGAGTTCCTCCAAATAAATCAAACAACCCACAAGATATAATTATTTGAAGGAACTTCGAGATGCCTCCAAAAAGGAAAGCCACATCAAGTATGAGGCTGTATACTTGCTTTAATATGAATCTGTAATGACTAACAACTCCCAGGTGTGAGAGGCTCTACCAAATCGAACAAAGACTCTGCTGTCTCTACACCAGGACCTGCAACCCCTCGTAGTAATATGAGCAGTGGTGATAGTGATGATGACTATCAAGATGGTACCGTAGATGAACTTGAACGTCAAGGTCTAGAAGCTACAGAGGAAGAGAAGGCCAGTATTGCAAAGACTATAAATAAATTCTCAGCAGAGAGTTACCGGCCAAGATCGGATTCCAAATTAGTTAGGGACTCTGCTAGTCACCACTTTGGCAATAACGATTTTTCATACCTATCACTAAAGCCCGATCACGCAAATCGTCCTTTATGGATAGATCCTGAGAAGGCGCGCATTATCCTAGAAAGTTTCTCTCCACTGGCAGCGCATGCTCAAGATTTCCTGACCACAATAGCAGAGCCAAAGTCGAGACCTAGCTTTTTACACGAATATGCTTTAACACCTCATAGTTTATATGCCGCTGTATCAGTTGGCTTGGATCCAAAGGATATTGTCAATGTTCTTGACCGCCTTTCAAAGATACCTATACCTGAGAATGTTAAAAAGTTCATCATCAATTGTTCTCAGAGTTATGGCAAAGTCAAGCTGGTCCTTAAAAATACAAAACATTATGTCGAAACTTCAGATCCTGACTTGCTACAACGTCTTCTGTCGGATCCTATAATTGGTCCGCTCAGGGTTCAAGGGTCCACAACTACAACTATAGCACCTAGTATGGGTGCCTTGGTTATCCCAGGAACGAAGAATGCAGCTGGAGTTCAGCAAACTGGAGATAGACGCCAGAGTGTAACAGATAGACAGCAAGCAGGACAAGAACCTACGCAGGATGATATTTATGCAAAGCTTAATGAAGAGGACGATGATGATGACGAAGAAGAGGCTGTTCATTCGTTTGAGATCGCTGATAACTGCGTAGAAGCGGTACAAAAACGATGCCTAGACCTCGCACTGCCGGTACTCGAAGAATACGATTTCCGCAACGACGAAGTCAATCCAAATCTCGAGATTGATTTGAGGCCTAGTGCCCAAATTCGACATTACCAGGAGAAAAGCTTGAGTAAAATGTTTGGTAACGGTCGAGCTAAGAGTGGTATTATTGTGTTGCCTTGTGGAGCTGGAAAAACCTTAGTTGGCATCACCGCGGCTTGCACAATCAAGAAGGGTGTCATTGTCCTCTGCACAAGTTCTATGTCAGTTGTTCAATGGCGACAGGAATTCTTGAAATGGTCCAACATCAATCCAGCTGATATTGCGGTATTTACTTCGGACCACAAAGAGAAATTCACAAGGAGTACCGGTATCATTGTCACAACTTATTCTATGGTCACGCAGACACGTGCGCGAGCTTTCGACGCCCAAAAGATGATGGATTTCTTGACGAGCAGAGAATGGGGCCTGATGCTTCTAGATGAGGTCCACGTTGTCCCTGCTCAAATTTTCAGAAAAGTCACATCATCAATCAAAACCCATTCGAAACTAGGTTTGACGGCTACTTTACTCCGTGAGGATGATAAAATTGAAGATTTGAACTTCTTGATCGGTCCCAAATTGTATGAAGCCAACTGGATGGAACTTGCAGCTCAAGGTCACATTGCTAGAGTTCAATGTGCCGAAGTCTGGTGCCCAATGACTACTGAGTTTCACTCGGAGTATCTGAAAGCACCTAGTCGCAAGCAGGGCTTGATATCTACAATGAATCCCCGGAAGTTCCAGGCGTGTCAGTTCTTGATAGACTATCATGAGAAGCGTGGCGATAAGATTATTGTGTTTTCTGACAATGTTTACGCCTTGCACGTCTACGCTCAAAAGTTAGGGAAAGTTTTCATCTATGGTGGTACGGTTCAAACCGAACGTCTTCGAATTCTGGAGAACTTCCAACACAATCCCAATATCAATACACTATTTCTTTCGAAGATTGGTGACACTTCTCTCGATTTACCTGAAGCAACATGTCTTATCCAAATCTCGTCTCATTTTGGTTCCCGTCGACAGGAAGCACAAAGATTGGGCAGAATTCTTAGAGCAAAACGTAGAAACGATGAAGGTTTCAATGCATTCTTCTATTCTTTAGTTTCCAAAGATACTAAAGAGATGTATTATTCTTCAAAACGTCAAGCATTCCTTGTCGACCAAGGTTATGCATTCAAAGCCATTACTCATCTCCAGGGTATTGAAGATCTCCCTGGTCTTGCATTCAACACGCCCCAGGACCGAAGAGAGCTTCTACAAAACGTCATGCTTCACAACATGGACGAGGAGAAGTTCCAGGAAGATCTCAGAGACGATCTGTTCCATCGAAACGACGGCAAACCCAGACCGAAAAAGAAGTCGAATGTTAGAAGAACTGCAGGCAAACTCGCAGATTTGGCTGGTGGGCAGGACATGGCCTATGTTGAGCAAAATAGGAGTAGAAATAAGGATCTGAAGAAGAACAAAGGAGAGAGTTCTGCCTTCTTCAAGAAAATGGAGAGAGAGCGACAAAAGAGAAAACTTGCAGATTAGAGGTTTATTTCTTATGGGCGCAAAATGGTTGGTCAAATTGATATGAGGACAAACGGTGATGGGGCGTTGGTCTGATGGGAAGGAACGATTACGGGTCATTTCCATGTACAAAATAATCTTATACATAAACCAATAATGATATAATCTGAAATATTTTGCTGGGTTTTCTACACTGATGTTCTTACAAATTTTGGACGTTATCTATGTAAATCGTGGTCCCGACTATACTAGGTATTCACAGTGTTTATAATCACACACAAAATCGCCGTTGAAATAATTTCAACGAACAAGACACCAACACTAGTTTCTGACTTTCATACCCATCAAAGTGAAGATATGCACCAGCTCAACTCTTCACATAGTCTCCACATCTTCCTCCACCCACTCCAAATCCCCCTTCCCCTTAAAGACCTCCAGAATATCCGCCTGCTCATTCAACATATATCTATCCGTTGGTCCTCCAATCTTTCCCAGTTTTCTCCACCGTTCGAAATCCTCCGAGTTTCGCTTATCTCCATGTGCTTCCTTTGCATTTTCCCAATGTCCTTGCGAAAACGCAAGTAAGGTACTGATTTTCTTATTCGGGATATCGTAGACGAGAGAACAGATTGTTCCGGTTTCTTCAAGCCAGTTGCATTGCCAGAGAGCACCGGGACGGATGCACTGGAAGGAACAGCGTTGGTAGTTGACGCGACCGGCCATGGGCCCCCCGTGGATGGCGTAGATTATTAGGGTAGGGTGGGCGAAGTACCTGGGGGTGTCAGTGGAGTCTGGTGACAGGATGGACATAGGGGGGTTACATTTCATATTTCCATTTTTCGGGATTTCCGTTCGCGTCTTGAGCTGCGTAGTCGTAAACTAGATGGACGTCTTTGATGTCTTTTTCGAATTGGGAGAGGATAGCTGGATCGGTTTTAGCGTGGACGGTAGGCATTTTGATTATTTGTATTATGAATAGTATATATAAGAGACGAGGAACTGGAATTTGTGTATCTAGGAACTTCGAGGTGGTGTGTGAAAACGGAAACCGTTCTTGCAGGAGACAGGATTACAAAGTATATATACTCAAGAGGATTGAAGAACCGCCATAGCACCGTTCGAATCGTAGAATTCCAAGACCATTTTCCGCCTAATCCAAATGCCGAGATCTTCCCAAAGAAAGGGAAGCTAGAATACATCTGGGGGTGGAGTCAGAATGATGCGGGCGAGGCGGGATGACGATCATAGAATCCGGGCCAGACCAATTTAGAATAGAGTTCTATCAAAAGCGACAAAGCATGATTTTTAGGATAGAGTCAAAATACGAGCTCCCATCTGGTACCACAAAAGGCCCTGTATCACATTGTAAAGACACCTTCAATGCGAACTAGAACTTAGTGCCGCGCAACAAGTAGGCTTGTATAAGCTTGTGTTGGAATCAGAAGGTTTCTGCTTGAAGACTTTGGGGAAGTTCTGTTTCCTCGATGGGGCTAGAGGAAGATCTGCAGTCCAGAAAAGTGGTAAAGAAAATCATGAAATGTCATGTTGAGACTAAATATTCTCGTCCAAACGTCGTACCACCTCTATGCGCGGCACTTGCGCGCGGTATCATGTAGGATCTTACAATCTACAAAGTAGAGTTCTCTGGAGAAGAGGCTTCATCGTGTGAATTGAGGCGAGCACGTCGGATGGAGGTCGGGCAGACGGATGAGTAATCGTTAGATGTTGCACGTGACGGTACACAAACGGAAGTCGCGACCAAAAGCGGTGTCTCAAATTCATTTTCAATAGTCAAAATATCCAACTCGATCTATCACCCACTTGTCCCAACAAAAACCACAAGCACGGCTGCATATGTTGCAGTTGCTGCGACGGTCTCCGTGTTATTTGCACGGAGAACAAGACTTGTGATTCCTGCAAACAATACCACAGCTATACTTGTCGTCACTAAACTCTTCGTCAAATTCTCCCCGATTCTCATAATGAGCATGGGCACTATAAGGCTTAGTCCACCCGTAAAGGCGATTATAAATCTTGCAAGTTTATTGACGAAGAGAGAAACTTGTTCTGGCGGCTCGCCTTTGAGATACTCGTCTGTACGAAGCAGTTGCTCGCGCTTGGTGTATGTCAGTTGAGATGGCAGACGCGCTTTGAGCCACTTTCTTAGAGGGTCGATTGGAATCAACGATTGATCTGGGAGACGAAGGTAAGCCGAATTAAATGGATCGCCCGGTAAGCCGACAATGTCGGGAAAGGCATATGTCAGATCCTGACGCTTTTCTTGTGCTTGAGATCCAGCGATATTTTGAAGACCTGAAAGGAAAGCATAATCTCGAATTGCATCGGCTTCAAATGCATGTTACTAAAACCTCAGAGACACTATCATTAATGCTGGAAGCTTACCATACTGGTGCAAGATTGACGCTAGGTCTTGAATATCGGTGTTAGAAGCTGTGTTGTTTGTCCTTATGGCACCTTTTTTCTTCGCTAATTCCAGCTGGAGGTGGGTAATGTTAAGTATTTGCAGCCCATGAAACGCTAAAAAGCATGGTTCCTCAGAACGCGTTGCATAAGAATAATGAAACAATCGCTCTGCTTCAGACATCTCATCTTTAATAACGCCCACGTTTGGTTCCTTTGGCACATTTATTGAAAATGGGTTGCCAAGAGTTGCGTCTGGTACACTCGCCATTTCTGCAGTTCTGATATGGAGTTTTGTAGACAAACTTTGTCAGCTAATAAAGTTTTCTATGTCTGATATTATATGTTATTCAGCAGCCTAGTGGCACAGTGTAGGCAGGTAGGCACGCATATCAAAATTTGAGGCAAAAAAAGCAAAGCCAGGAAAAGTAAACACAAGAAAGTATTACTTGATGGCGTCGACTCCCAACGAAGCGATTCAAAACTCGATGAACATAAATATAGTACGATTTGGGCAGTTTCATCATCGGTCATAATATTGCGGTTTCGATGTCAAAATGGCCTCTCCCAAGCCTCGAAATTACACTTTGCTGGGAAGAAATGGCAAAGTGGTTATTTTGGCTGACACCGTTGAGCCACAACAGGACGAAGACCTCAGCGGGTCCATTTCAGTCAGCCAATGCTGCCCATTAACAACAAATGATCTTCTTATGGCGATTCGTGAAAGATATCAACAGAGCAGGAAGTTGCTTCTCAAAGTCGCCGCAAAGCACAATCTTCTTTCATCAATCACTCCTTAGGGTAAGAGTTATGTCATCCTCAAGGGGCCTCTTTTGTTGCTAGACCATGCTCTCAGCGATATACTTCAATATTTTCGATTCAAATTCTCTATACTGGACGCGCAGACCTGGAAACCTCGGATTCGGCGTAACCACTCGAAGTCTGCGAAAGATTGGAATGACTTCTGGCGTATCCAAGGAAATAAATTGTCCACCGACCCAAGGATCAATGAATATCTGAGTAAGCTCTTTGTACATGCAATCCCCACAGTGACTGACATTTTGCTGCGCAATAGGCAGGGCAGATAGGGCCTTTTTAAAATGGAATAACGATCTCAAAACTGTTCTTGTACGTCCTCTCACAGATTGCATGGTCAATAGCTGCACACTTGATTACATCGACATCATAATAAAGACGCAAAACATTCACGAAGAAGTCATTACGTACTTTGAAGACCTACAATCCGCCATCTACAAACTTTCGAATGAGTACATGGAGGAGGAATTGATAAATTGGTTGGGAGCAGATTGGGAGCAACCCCGTAATGAGAGTATCCAAAAATGATCCTCCATTATTGCCAGAAAAGCAAAGCTAGTTAACGAGAAGGGGAATATGGAACCCATTTGCGAGAGCGTTTGGGGAAATTTTGGAGAGGCTAGTTTCAGATCTATGTTCTTGGACATGGTACGGTTATGCAGAGGAGAGGATCTCTGGTATTTCTAATACCTTTTCTTTCGCTTTTAATTTATCAATTACAAAAGTAAGTTGTCGTCTATCGTCTTCCCCCTTTTATCAAAACCACACCACCCACATGTCTTCATCCCAGCACACGCTTCGCTTTCCTCATCAAGGTGAGAGATATACTCACGGGTATCGACTAGCAAACAGGTCTTCTCATCTTTCATCCCCTATGAGCCATAAACTAATTCTAACTGACTACCTATCACTTCAAGACCCAACTCTTACTCAATGGAACACATTCAATCTCGCGAGTTTGCTTCCTTCTTTCCCCATTCGAATGTTTGCAATTCATGTAATGTGCTATCTTGTGGGATGCTCTCACATCACATGGTGTGACATTTACTCCTGGTGTGAAAATCTCGACGATTACGATCTGGTTTCCGTGTCGATAGTACGCTCTGCTGGAGACTCTCAATCTGCTCATATGCGCCTTACAAATAAGTTCTGAGTAGTCCTGATGTTTCAATCCTATAGATAATTGCCACAGATCACAAAAAAACATATTATATTACCTTCACAGCTTTGATCTAACATGAGAGATATCTTATCTATATTATATCTTCATGCAATTTTAGATATGATACAAGCTTCCGAAATGCCACCCTTTTTTTGACATGCTATTGTGCCCAGAATTAAAACGCAAATTCATCTCATCCCATGCATCCAAGATCCTTTCATTTTTTTCAATCTTCGTAAGAAATCGTCGTCTCATATGTAGTGTACATAGGTAGTAACACAAATATTCCACAACCATCACGCTTCATCCCCTTTCATCGAGCTTTCGATACCGACTCAATTTCAGTTCTCACTACATCTCAACATTTTCTCTCCCAGATCAAAGACTTATTAAGTCACAACACCATTCGTCACGCCGTTTCCTTGGACAGCCGCTTCCTCTTCCACCATCTTTCCCTCTCCATCTCCGTACAAAAAGAATTGCACAAAAACACCCGCATCCAACAATAACGTACCCGCGCTACCTGCCAACCAACTCGCGTTTACAGCAATATAGCGAAGATATTCGGATCGTGCTTCGCCACTTTCGCACTTTGAGTGTCCGTGTCTCGAGGCTGTGAGACAGGGGGCTTCGTAAGCGAAGATGGAAAGGACATATGTGAGATTTCCAATACAAGCGAATAAGAAGAAAAGCATTGAGATTCCCTGAGTAGATTTACGTCGATGGTTGAGGAGAAGTTGGGGGACTCGAGAACTTAGATAGAGGATGGCGCAGAGGTAGCCGAAGGTTTGTCCCAAGGGGGAAAAGGTTGGGCTGGTGTGAGTAGATGAGTGTTTATCATGTGTTTTGTGGGATTGGGCGGAAGAGGAGTTGGATATCCACCAGCCGAGAACACCGGCAATGCAGACGAGAATGATGCTAAAGAAATTGAAGAGGAAGGTTTGCATTGGGGAAGTTTTGGCTTTCTTGGTGATGGGCGTATCGTTAGAAGGAGGGTCGAGAAGCGGAACAACGGGAGAGAGATGTTGAGCTGAAACAGAGGTGCCGCTGTGTCTTCTCTCTAGACCATTGAGGAGCGCTGTAGTTTCACTGGGCGTGCTAGCTGCTATTGCTGCGTAGGTAGGCTTAGGTGGGGATGGTGGTGGCTTAACTTCGTCGCGCCAGGTGAAGCCCTTGTAGTAGAAACATTGACCTAGAAGAACTATATCTGCTATGGTATAGTATACGGCGAGGATAATCTAATGATGTTAACATCGATATCACGTGCAACTCATTAGACAATATTTACCATCGTAGGAAGAACACCTTGGAGCATAGCACCCCAGATATTGAAAACATCACCAGCAAGCCATATAATGATGAATTGTAGAGATAATCCATCAGCCTATTGGATATTAGCACATTGCACTCATTTAATTGCTTCCAACAACCCAATTGGCTTGCAAACAGAATCTCATTGAAGGTACTCACCGAACCTCGTCTCCAATTCTCAATAATCTGAGGACTAAAGACCACTATCCAACAAGCAATCGATATCGAACTAATTCTCATCAGTATTTTCCTTTATCCAAAATTCTCAAGCTAAAACTCAATTGACACATACCCACATATTCCCGATATAGCAGTAATATCCAAATTCAAATTCTGAGTCGGAGGAATCATCTTGAATTTTCGTATAGACCCAATCTCAAAAGAATTGTAAATATATCAAATATGAAGAACCCAAAAATGAAAGCCTTTTGAAAAAAAAAACTCTCTCTCTCCAAATTTTGCTATCAAAAAAAGCAAAGAAAAAATTATGACTCGATATCTTTTAAGCCAACTCTAGTATGATCTGATGTAAATGTGGCGGTCTACCAAACCTCTCTAGTAATGGTCAGACACAGAAAAGTAATGCAATCCCGTCAACTCGAGCCAACTTCTCGAATGATTGATATTCTGATATCCTAATCGCAGCAAAAGAGCGAGATATGAAGTGAAAAGTCTGGAGAGCGTTTTGAAGATGTTGCTAAAGTAGACAATAATTACGGTGAAAGATACTTTGTTCAAAGCAAGGTTTGTAGGTAGTTTGTAACTCACATGACTAATGATCATCACGTGATGCGGACGCTTGTCCGATTAGAGGTGTCTAGGACAGTCGGACTGGGCGAGCTGGAGTAGCTGTCAATTGGTACCGGTCGGAGCTCGGTGGGGGAAGGAGGAAAGACGTCATTATTTATTTATTTACGAGTACATACTTGTATCGTACATGGAATTTGAACAATTCAATTACTCTTCTCGCATTTGGAGATTTGAGAGGTCGTATTTGAGTGATGTGAATCGGAGAATTTAAGAAACATAGGGGTTTCCGATGGTAAGACAAAGTCTCACGGCTATTGATCTAGATTACTACCCCTCGGTTTGTATGTATACTTCGTACTAATCCAATCTTCTCAAGATGACTCCGGCAATGGTAACAAACAAATTGAATGAACGATTTAATAATAATAAAGTGGCTGACTATCAAATCGAAATGTGTTGGCTTGTTGGCTTAGAAATCCCGAGGGTCGGAATTTAGATAAAAGATAGAGTAGCCACCCCACTATTTCCTTTTATAGCTTTGATCTCTCTCTCTCTACTCGGGTACTCCTTAACATTATCATATATAAACCCCCTTCCTTCAGAACACCTTCAGAACACTCTCCTCTCACCACCATCCAAACCACAACATCCAAACCATGCCCGAACCTTCTCTCCCATCCCCTGCTCATCCCGACGTCGACTCCATGCTCACCCGCAAATTTGGCCGCGAAGTAGCCAACTACTTTTCCGGCTCGCCCCTCAACCGTGTTTCCTTCCTCCGCGCAAACCATGATTTCATCTCCAGCGCATTCACGCATCCCGCCACCAACTTCCTCCTTCTCAATAATCTTGCTCCGCTGACTAAAGATCCCAGTCACCTGGCCTATTCCTCTCACTCCGACATCACGGGATTGACGGGACAGAACCCGTTTGAGAAAGATGAGGAGACGATGATTAAAGAGTATAATTCTTCCAAGACGTTACCCTTAGTTTTATTCCTGGGCTTGGATGAAAGAAGTAAAGATAAAGAAGGGTTCAAGCATGGCATTTACAGCGGAACTCCTTATTTTGCAATCGATGTCACCCCCAAGGGAACATACGAAAACGAAGCAAACAGCGTGGTGAAAGCCATGCAGGAAAAAGGATTGGTGTTCCAAGAGGGAAGGATGCTCATGAGTCTGGACGCACAAGAAGCTGCGATTTTCGCCCAGGCACGAGCGCTTCTGGATTGGAATGCTAGGAATCCTTTCTGTGGGGGCTGCGGACAACCTACGCTTTCTGTAAGTGAACCCTACTTTGAGATGCAAAGAAGAGAAAAATCTCCACTTTGGAATATCACCAAAAACTAACAAAATCCCAGGTCAACGCAGGCACCAAACGCGTGTGTCCCCCCACCGATTTCGCCTCTCTCCCCACCGCCCAAGCAGGAACCAACCCCGCAACCCCCACCCAAAGAGCCTCCTGCGCAACCCGCAAAGGCGTTTCCAATCTCTGCTTTCCCCGCACAGACCCCACCGTCATCATGGCCGTCGTCAGCCACGACGGCAAACGCATTCTTCTCGGCCGTCAAAAGCGCTGGCCGCAATACTGGTACAGCGCGCTGGCCGGGTTCTGCGAGCCCGCCGAATCGGTCGAGGAAGCCGTGCGTCGCGAAGTCTGGGAGGAGTCCGGCGTGAAACTCGGTCGTGTCGTCATTCATAGTACCCAACCTTGGCCCTATCCTGCAAACTTGATGATTGGTGCCATTGCCCAAGCGTTGCCGGATGGTGAGAAAATCCATCTGGAGCATGATCCGGAATTGGAAGATGCGAAGTGGTTTGAGATGGAGGAGATTAGGGAAGCGTTGTTGAATGGAACGAGTCCGTTGGGAGAACCAGCTAGCGAGGGGTACAAGGAGGGAAATCTGAGGTTACCATCTGTCACGGCCATTGCGACGCAATTAATTAAGGCGGTTGCGGAGGGCTTTTTGGGTGAGAGTCCTAAGATTTAAGGGGGGGATAGAATCTTGTTGGTTGGTTACATAGAAGTCATGTGAGCTAGATTCTGAGGATATAGAAATTAGAATATTTCCGCATTGATGGGGATTGTAGATAGTTTATGCTAGATGGTAAGACTACAATATGATGATCGATAGATCACACAACACTTGAATGTCAAAACGAAATTGAATATCCAAATACACAGTCTATTCTTTGGAAGTGGGTGATATCTAATATAATTGATGATTGAACATTCATACCCTCGCTACCTGAACACCATACTGCAACACCATACTGCAACAACAAACTACAACAACAAACCACAACAACAAGTAGGCAACAAAATCATTTCATTCCTTCATCAAAATCATCTATCATCAATTAGAGCACAGACATCTGGTCTAGTCTTGTCTGATCTACCTAAATACCAAGGATAGAAAGCAACAATCTATCTCAGATCTCCTACCAATCCCACATTGTGCTATCCAGCCGTTTCATTCCATTCCATGAATTATACGCAGAAAACATTATCATGAGATACCAGCCACCTACTCCACACATTAGGAATTTGTCTCGGCAAAATTGGATCCATCTCGTTCTCGTCCCACTTGAACACGAGGAGAACCGGTAAGAAAGTCTTCAGACGTTGCTTCTTCGGGAGGTGGAGTAAGGCTTTTCTCCCATTGATTCATCATTGTAGATACAGTTTTCTTGAGATTGCCCGGTTTCAATTGGTCGAGAGCAGGCCATGGGATTTCATCCCTTCTTGAGGGCGAGTCTGGCGGGTTGTTCGAGTCCATAATGCTATGATTGTATTGTTAGTGAAAATATTCTTTTGCCAGGAACAGAATGAAATTCTCACTTTACTTCATCTTCGCCACTGGCATTTCTAGGAGTCACTGGACCGGACAATGTAGAACTACCGCTCCATCTCATGGGCGATTTAGGAGCTGGAGAATCCCAATTTGACCAATCGTCATCGTCGATGGTAGCAGTAGGAAATGAAATTGGTCTTGCGCGTTTCTTTTGAACGTTTGTGGGTTTCATGGGTGCCGCCAGAGTATCAGGGTCTTGCCATAATGCGCCTCCCAATTCTAGCAGAGCAGGATTATCACCGGTTAAGGAATCCCATGTTCTTTGCGATGATGGATCTGGTCTTGGTGATTTCCCTCGTCGTCCTCGTAAACTACCCTTACTAATTCGCTTATTTAGTCCGCGTTGTGTTGCATCCAAGCTTGATCGTTTGTTCGCTGTGCCATTGACCGCTTCGTCCCCCACTGTAGCTTGTCGAAGGTCCTCAAGGAAAGTCCATAGTCCAGCTTTAACGTCTTCTGTAATCTGTTTCACTCCATGTGTCACTCCTAGTCCTCCTTGGTATGAATGTCTATTTGCTCGATTTGTGTTGACCCTGGAGATACCAATACTTGTATCCGGCATAGTTGTGCTTCTTGGAAGGTCGACTGAGGTTGTTCCGGTGGATTCTGGGAGTGTAGAATTGTGCGTCATTCTTTCTGGGGAAAGGAGCGAAAGTGTACGAGTATGACCACCAGTAATGATTTTCCTTCGTGGATTCTTCTGATCTTTCGGCAGGTGAGGAAGATTGGCAAGAAAAGCTTTCTTTCGATCCATATCTATGCTTTGTCTTGGAGTCGTAAGTGCGTTCTCGTCAGCAGACCCGCGCTCAGTTTGCACAGGTTGAAGCTTCTCGACATGGCGAATTTCTGCTCTCTTCTTTGTTGCTTCATGAAGCGCCCATTGTTTTTTCAACTGCTTGAGCTCATTTTCGGCTTTGTCCAGCTCCTCCTTAAGTTCGAGAACCCTCCTTTCCTGACTAGCTAGGGCGACTAGAAAACCGTTTGAATCATTTGGCGATAGGATAACGTTGGGATCTGCAGGTGTGCCGGGAACTGATGGAGCATTTGATGAAGTTGGAGTAGCTCTGACTGATTCGAGGCCGTTGCTTGGAGCAACGGGGAAAGTTAGCGAAAGTCGATTTGGTCTTCTTGAGGTATAAGATAGTGCACGATCTGGTCGTACAATGGGTCGAGGTGGGTGGTTTGTAGAGAAGTTTACTCTATTGGGTGAAGTACCAATATGGGGACTTGGTACATCAGTAGGTTGATCGGCCCCTGTTAGAATTGATTCAACAGAAGCACGATCAATTGAGGTTGTTCGATGGTGGAATGAATCCATTGTGCATATTGGAGAGGATAAGTATATATAATGATCACAGAATAGTGGAATGAAAGTAATTTTGAATATAAGCATTCAATGTTGAAGAAATTCTTGTGTTTATGTTTGTGTTATCGTAATCGAATAATCGTTATGCATTTGGTCAGTAGGGGAGCCGATATGTCAACAAATAACCAAAAAGGAGTATGAAAGCGAACAAGAGAAGGCAGAGATGGAGACGAATAAAGGAATAGAAAATTGGATGGTCGATATTTTTAGATTTTGGACATCATAAACATCATACAAGAGAAATGGTAGGAGACGCAATCATTCCAAGAAGGAAACTTGTTTTTGAACACAGAAAGATGAGTTGTGTTGTGAGTGAAGTCAAGCCAAGGGAAGGGAAGTGAAGTGTAGGACAGGAAAGACTTGAACGTTTCTGTCTTACTCCAGTCTTGAGTAGAGTAGCTCAGTAGGTACCTAGTATTTGTTGAAATTGTTCTAGGTTTGTCTATTTGAATTGAGATTGTGGTTATTGTTGTTATTATTATTATTATTATTTATTATTTATTATTTATTATTTACTATTTACTATTTACTATTTACTATTTACTATTGATTATTACAGTATTATGTTAGCTGATCCTTGGGTTGCCTAGGTAGGTACTTATTAGTTGTCCAAACTCAAGACAAGACATTGGAATTATGTACAGACTCACAGAGTACTCCCTAGCTGGTTCAAGTGACGAATATCCACGTAAATTCTGGGGTTGGATAGGTTTGGAACAACCCTGAAGTTTTGAGTAGATGGCATTGAGAGAGTGGATGAAGAATGAAGAAACAAACAAATGGGATGAACTCTCCATCGAATTTAGACAAGTTGAGACAGTCTAGCCCTTTTCAAGAGAAGGGGGAAATTCGAGATCAAAGCAGCAAGTCGGAACTTATAAACTCCGACTGAAAACATCAAGGTCACGAGATTTCGAGCTGTTTTCGTGTCTCCTAGCCTATCTATCTAGTGTCTAGTGTACTTTCTGCTACAGCAAAGTTTCCTCGCGACTTGAACTACTGTGACAACAAAGAGATATCACTACACATCCATTTTTCTACAATTGCAATCATACATACTCTCTTACAAAATATGAACATTTTCACATATCCATCCTGCTGTTCATCTTATTCATTTCCTTACTCATCAGCACAGCACATCTTATCCCCCCTGCTTATGCTTAACATCCTTTCTTGCAATGAAAACATTCCCATTCTACAAACTATGTAAACTCCTAGATGAACTCGAGGGCTTGATCTGCAGATTTCCACCATTACTTCCCAAAAATCTGAAGGAGAAGGTGAGTGATGCTTGGATTCGTTGGTTCAAACTCCATCGCGATACCTTGGATGCTCTGTATAAAGACGACCCTTCGGTTTTATTTACCCTCAAACCAGAGGTCCTGGATGATCGAGACTACGATGTCCACAAAGTAGCCTTCGAACGCTTCCTTGCTAGGTATTTTTATATGACTGTCGAACAACGTGCCACATTCAAAAAGCTCGAAGAGGGAGATGGGACATTGATACCTGTATGGAATCCCAAGGCTGGTCGCGATGATTTAGTCAGGAATGATATAGGCTATCGTGTACAATGTATCATGAAGTATATAGGTCGAGATACGAATCAGGTCAGTATATTAGTTCAGGGGGGAAACTATTATCTCAGAATTACCCATGGATGAACCCGCGTTTCGCTTGAGTAAAGTATAATCAGGGACTTCTTCATGTGATGTACACACTTACATGGCAACTTTACTAAAACGCTTTCATAGGAGACAGTGTTTGAACACACGAAAATCACTGTGCAAGAGATCGAGGATACCCTCATCACCATTGCTGCTCAGAACGAAGGGTCCTCAGCTACTATAAAGTCTCTTGCAGATCCCAATGACAGAGACACCTGGGACCGCCTTGGACAGATATACTCGAGGCTTCAAAGCTCCCAAGGAAAATGGCTCACTCGTATCATTCATAAAGACTTCGGGTTCCAGGTTCCAGTTGATATCTTAGTCACAGCAGTTCACACGAGTTTTCCTCGGCATCTAGAGGTAAAGGCTAAGTTTGATGTCAAAAATTTGGTACCTATTCGAAGGCAGGGCGAGACAGGAATCGTTATGCCTAGTGTCATTCAACCAAGACGGTCCTTTACCAAAGATCAAGGCACCCAAACTATGGCACTTCCATCGGTCGCGCGACCAACCAAGCCCCCACAACTGATTTCGCCTCCACCAACAAGACGATCAAGGCCTCTCGTTTTGTCTAATTCTACCAAGTCTTCCCTAAATGTTATGCAGTCACCACCACAACACATTCCGCCAATAGGCTCGGAAAATATCGAGGTTCCTCAAAAGACACCGACTAGGCTTACCCATAGATCTCGTCGGCTGTCTCTAGAACAATTAAGGTCTCTACAAAAATCAAAGTCTCCTGATCTTCTTACCAAAACTATCTTTACCGGCACTGGCCAATGTAAGCAAACAACAAACTGTGCTTTCCATAATGCAATATTCATACTGTCTCCCTGCATCTCCTCCCACCTCTGGCTGATCGACCTCCTCCAATCCCACGGCGCAACCTACATCACCTCCTTACTTCCTCTGACCCGTAAAGTCCTCCCAAAACGCTGTCCCAAAACCGGAAAAAGAGTCCGCAAGATTGCCCTCGTTGAACACGGCAGAATAAATCAAACAATCGCTTTCATGAAGCAAATCGGCGCCCTTCAGCTCACGAGATCAAATGGTAAACGTGATTGGATAGAGACATGTGATTGGCGTTTATTAGAGAAAAT